AATGGATCAGTTTATAAAGCTAGTTGAAGTTATTTTGCTTACTCCAGGTCCAGATATTTATATTCAAAATACCCTAGAATTTATCTGACCAGGAAAATAAAATTACAGGAGAGCAAGCCAACTAAGTTAAACAAGATTTTGTGCACTCTATTATGTGCATTCTCTACTGTTTTTGACATGAATTCTTCTTCACCAACTGCCAGTCAATCACAACTTTTTGCACACTTCCAAGTGCCAAATTCATGCAATTTACAATACATGCCTGCATTTGCTTGTATCTGAACAACTGGTTTAAGAAAAAACGTGAAAATTAGCACAAACTAAAATTAAAAATTGTTGAAAAAACAACCATAGCAGGCTACAGAGGTGTCTCATCATGGAATAGGTCACTGTTACAGTCTTAAGCATTTATCCTGAAGCTAACTCACCTTTTGGGATCTCACTCTTTTCATGAGAGGTACCAGGAAACCACTGCTTTGTTCAAAGTGCTATGGCTTTGCTGTTTTATTTTACATATAAACATGTACTAGGGTCTACCAGCTCACCATATTCCAGGAAATAAACAAATATGGATTTCCTAACCCCGTTTCCCTACATGGTAGCAAAACCAGCAATCCACCTAAAAAATTACATTCCAAATTCAATCTCCAGACTTTAGAAGTCTGAGTTGGGAAATGAGCTGTATTTAATCCAACTGTATGTTAATCCAGGACTATCTGAAATTTACATGTCCTAAGGTGTGTTACTCCAGCAACACATTTCCATGCAGGAAACACCTGGCCAAGAGCTGCACCCAGAGCAAAGGTGAAGAAGACAGACACATATACAGTGGGGGGCACCCTGGACCTGTCTGTGGATGCTGCTGGGCTGGTTTGTAGAAGCGATTTGCCCAGTGACAGGGCAAGGAGGAATGGCCATAAGCAAAGACGCGAGAAGTTTCCACCTCAACATGAAGAAGAGCTTCTTTATGTTGAGGTTGGAAGAGCACTGGAACAGGCTGCCTGGGGAGAGCATGGAGTTTCCTCTGGAGACATTCCAAACACACCTGATTGATTCCTGTGTCACCTGCTCTAGGTGGCCCTGCCTTGGCAGGGATGTTGGACTGAATAATCTCCAGAGATCCCTTCCAACCCTAATGAATCTCTGATTCTGTGAACCTCAGCACTGGAAAAAGGCTTGGAGGTCAGTTTCTATCTCAAGTTATCACTGCTAATGGCATTTTTCTGCTCTGTCTAATTTGATCGTCTAGCAAATATTTTGAAAATTACTAAATAAGCTTGCACAGAAAAGTAACAGGGCATAATTTAAAATTTGTAACACTTAGATATGTAATAGCTGCTCAGTAATTGCACTTCAAAACTGAAAACTACTTCTCCTTGCTAACATTTGATGTTCTTTAAAAGGGTGAATTATCTAAATAGTTGGTGCTTTATTTAACAGAAATTTCCAATAAACCTCATTCCGTCACTTTGAGTTATGTCGCTTCATGCCATGTGACATGAAGGCATTGATGTAAGTTTGACAGAAGTGCCAGTGCTGACATGTCAGTTTGAGAAATTATATGCTACAGAATTTTTAAAACAACTGTGGATTGCCAAGGAAAAAAAGTATTTAAAATGTGTAATAACTGATGCATCTTTAGACTGAAAACAATTTATTCAATTCACATAGTTATATTGATTTAATGTTCAGGCTGACACTTAATGCAATAAGAGAAAGGAAATTTATATTGAAAATTTCCAACTAGTTCAAGTTACAATATATTATAGAGCAAAGGAAAATGAGATGTGTAAATGTAATGGGCATTTTTTAAAAAACATTGTTATTGAGTAATACTGTTAGCATTTAATAATTTGAAATAATCTATCTCAAACATTAAGGCCCTACAGAGGAAAAAAAAGGGTCTTAGCTGAACAGGGAATCAATTGCTTATGAAAATTCTTATTCAGCAAAGAATGCAACATGGCAAGGGGGGTATCTTTCACTGGAAGTGCTAATTGATTTAAATAATGTTTTCTTTTATTTTTCTGGGTTTGGAGTGGGGTTTTTGGTAATCTCATTTTGCTACAGATCAAGTCCTGCCTTATAATTTCTTCACAATCTCTGTACTTCAGTTGAAGCATACTTAGGTCAGTCATGTGTGAACTTTCAAGCATCTATTTTATCTTCAAATGACTTAATTCTGTAATGGCAGAATAAGAGATTGAATGCCTAAGGACTAAACAAATTAGTGAACCATAATATTAGAAAAATTATAAACTCCATGTACTCATCAGATAAAATTGTTCCATGTGTTAAAAATACCTTTTTGTAGAGCACCAGAAAACCTTGTCTCACTTACTCACTTAGAATTGCCCAAAATGTACCAGAGTTCAAATACTTCTATTCTTCTTCAATAGTTAACCATCCCAAAAATGAAATCCTGAAAACAGGCTAATGAGTGAAATGAGAAAAACACTTTTGCAGCTGGAGATACTGTATCTATGAAATCCTATCTAACTGAACTGTTATGCTGAACATTTTCACTGTAAAAGCTGCCTTCTTTCAGGATATGTGAAAGGAGTCTGATTTGGGCTCTTTTTTCAGTACAGTAATAGCATGGCATCAGTTAGAACTGGTGAGTATTTTCAAGGGAAGAAATAGAAGAGCCAGCATGAATTTCCTGCTTTCAGCTGCTGCACATTTTCCTGGCAATGCTATGCCATGTGCTACTGGAGCACTCTATGGCAATTTACACTGTTGCCACCTAATACATTATTAGCAGGAACTGTTTGATTTAGATTATTGCACCAAGTACTACCTTCTAAGCAATCACAAAGACATTGTCTGGTTAGAACGCTTTCTGTTGCATGTTCCAAGATTAAACATGCATTAACTTCAGCTAAAGCAGCAGCTATTTAATGTTCATAAAGAATTACACACAAATGTTTGGTTTAGAGCTGCCCATCATTCAAACAGCCAGGAGAACCTCCAAATGCTTGGAATCTCAAAATTGCCACCTGCAGAGTGTTAAACTTTCCTCTATTCCGTGTGACCATATATCAGTCTGTTGCTTTCTACATCCTTGGTAGATGTTAAAAGGGCCAGAAAAGAAGCACAGATGTAGAGGCAAATCCATCCGAAAGCCAGATCTCTGCCTCCTGTCTGTTTCGAAGGCAACTCCTGGCTAAAAAAAGTCAGTAACACAGCTTTAACAAAGCCACATTTGCAGACTATTAAATGTTTAGAAGATGTTAGGTGTGGAGTGGCAGAGATTTGAAGTAGATGGATGTATGCATACAAATGTTTGAGGCACACAGGACTTGGGGGTCATTTTTCTGGAGTTCCTGTTTTTCTGTTTGTCACCTTTCATACCACAGATGAATTCTTTTAATTAGTCATTGTAATTGGTGAATTCTTAGTCACTGCAACTGGTGGAGAGGCCAATAAAAGCTTTACATCTGAAAAGGGTAGATTTAAACATGAGTTTCACCTTTTTCACAGAACTTGATTAGCAGCAAATGGGCTGGGGTTACATTTATAAAAAACTGATAGTAAAGCCTCACCTTGAGTCTCCACCCAGAAACCTGAGAAAAGTAAACTAAATTGAACAACTTAACCTGCTCAGTCAGTTAATTTTCTTGATTCAGCACACATCAATCACTTTAAAGTGCACTAGTTTACCAAAACAACAACAGCAAGCCCAAGAACAAAACAGAAAAAGAAGGTAATGTATTAAGGGTATATACATAGTGCTTGAAATATAACTTCAGCCATTTTTCCAGTCCTCTCCTCTGCTGGGTTTGGCCAGCTGGTTGCCTCACTCACAGCAGAGCCTGGCTGCCTGTCCCACTACCCTCTCTAAATAAACACTGCAGCACTGTTACTTTTAGTTTCCCTCATTCCACCTTGTAGGTCAGAACATATATGGCAGTGGGAAGTAACAAGTCTCTTTGTATACCAGATTTTAAACAGTTTCTTCCCTAAATACCACACAACATAAGTAAATTCTGCTTCAGGAAATATTCTATACAAAGTCACTTTTCTCTTGTTGTGTATGACTTTTGTTTTCTGGTGCTGGAAACGTATTAGGATGATCTCTCACTGAGTACTCCTAAGCCCAGTTAATTAGTCCAGACTTTAATATCCAGCTTGGAATGTCTCTTGATAAAATACAGCAAATCTATCATAGTTTTTCAATGCAAATGGAATAAAGGTGGCTCAGACCTGACCAAGATTTCCTTCTATTCATGACCTTTTTTTCTATGGGGGAACTCTCAGCAGCAAGCTTCTCCTCTTGGGTCACCTTCTCCCCTGAATTGCCAGGCTTACAGAGGAGAAGCACTATTTCATTTGTTCTGCCTTGTAGCTCCCCCACTGAGAATTTTGCAGGCCCCTGCTAGGAGTCATCCTGCAGAAGCACAGGCAGGCACTGTTGTACTTGAAAAGACCCACTAATACTACAATTTGATATGGGTAGCTTCAATAAATAAATTTCCCTAGATTATCAGTGACAGAAAAGGCATCATCATCTCCTACTTGGTGTTTAACCTCCCGGTGACCGTGCTGGTAGGACGTGCTGGTGCATTTCTGACCCTTTCACTGCTATGTTTTAAGCACCTCAGATAAATGACAGACAATTGTTACTGGGAGAGGTTGCTATTTTTCCTTTATCAGGCTTTATTTTCGAGTGATGAATGCCCAGATGTCGCTGACTGCCACAGCTGTGTGGAAAACACGTCTGGGGACAGTCACAGTCAGTGCTATGCGCGTCCCGCGGGCAGGGGCTGTGCCACATGTGGCTGATGTCCCCGGCACCAAGGCTGCTGTGTGGCAGAACGGTGCGGCTCTGCAGACGAGCCCAGAGGAGCAGACTGGGGCCAGTAAGGATCCAGCAATGCCCACTTTGGTAGCCGCATGTGTTTGGAGCGGCTGTGCCGCTCGGGGCAGTGCGGAGCGGCCGGCCCCAGAGCGGGGGCAGCCCGGCTGCCCGGCACCTGCCCCAGCCCATCTCGCAGCCGGCCCCGGCACGGAGCGGGGCTGGCAGCGCCCCAGTGCCGTTCCGCTCTGGATCTCGGCATGTCTGCGACAGAGGCGCCCGACACCCAGGACCCTGAAGGAGCTGGGACATGCCCGGAGGATGTCCCCTCCCTCAAGGAAATCGAGCAGCTCCTGAACAGTGGGCGGCCCTCTTGCAACCACGTTGATGAAGTATGGCCTAATCTCTTCTTAGGGGACCTGTAAGTACGGCTTTATGGACACACCCCTGCCATACCTTCTGTTAGTACGCCTCATGGGTGCGGCTTTAGACAGCTCACAGTTTTGCTAATTGCTGTCATTTACACTGCAGACAGCACGATTTCCGAGATAAAATTATGACTAAACTGGTATTCCCTTCTCGATTAGCCCTTAGAAGGATGCATGGGCTGATGATCCAGCTATGGTTTGGAGATGCAGTTTCAGTGCTTCTTCTCTGTGGACATCACTGCACCAATCTTGATTTGTCTTTGTCTTTTCCTTAGAGTAACAGCGCACAATAGATTTATTTTATGGAAGATGGGTGTGACCCATGTTTTAAATGCTGCCCATGGCACAGCATACAGCCACGGAGGCCAGGACTTTTATGGAGCAACCATTGATTATTATGGTGTACCAGCCCATGACCTGCCAAGCTTTGATATCAGCCAGTTCTTTTTCTCTGCTGCACAGTTTATCCACAATGCCTTGAACACGCCAGGAGGTATGAAATTATTGTTGGTTGCATTTTTATGCGAATCAGCAGCCACACATAACAGGTCAGCTCCACAAAACTCAGTGGTGGACAAATCACTACATGGTGTCCTGCCAGGTGCTGGTCACCTGCAGGGTGGGTGGCAGGAAAAGGGAGTGGCTGTGTATGTGGATGTAGCTCTGACAAGGTCCCAAAAAGCTGATGTGACAAGACAGATGAACCATGCAGGAGAGAGACTGGGGAGGAGAGGAGAGAGAAAATTATTTGGAAGATAAGGCTAATTCAAAAAGGGAGAATCAAAAACATACGTTTGAAATGGACACCCTCTTTTGAGAGTGTCTTATTGCAAGAACAAATTAGTAAAAATACAGATGTCCTGATTTCTGCAATCACCAACTGTATGAAGAGGTTCATATATTGCAGATGAGTTTCTTGTGTGAACAGGGCCTGCAAGGCTGTTCCTCCAAGAAGATTTACTTTTACCCAAGGAGATTTACAGTGAGTTCCACAAGAAACTGAGCTTCTTGGCAGTGGTGCAATAAAATACGAAGTAACGTGTTTTACATAAAAGACCATTTCTTAGCATGAGTAAACTGGCATTAATGGAGATGTCTCTGTATCAAAAGTTCTGACTTCAAAATAGAATTACAGTTGTATCAAATTGCCTTATTATGCAATAGTACTAGGCCAGTCATTTTTCTTGGTGGCTAATGTGTCTGTGCCATCCATTCAGGCCAGATTTTAGCATTCTTCCTTGCATAAGCAAGCCTCCTGAAACTAATGGGTCTTTTTTTCCTCATGGTCAAAACAAAACAGCTTTATTACTCTCAGAGGGTTTTCTTTGATTTACCAGTGTTTCTGAGATCAGGTTGGGGTCTCATGGCATTTCTCATACAAGTGAGTGTAACAATAGTAAATTAGACTTAACTGTTAGCAGTTCATGTGATCTATCAGAAGAGTAAGAAAAACATTTAAATTAAACTTCATCCACTGTACTGCTTCTCTTGATGGGTGTATTTTTTTTTTTTACCAGCCAAAATATTGGTACATTGTGCAGTTGGAGTAAGCAGATCAGCTTCTCTAGTCCTAGCATATCTCATGATAAATCACCACCTCCCATTAGTTGAAGCCATCAAGACAGTGAAGGAGCATCGATGGATTTCACCCAATCGTGGTTTTCTGAAGCACCTGCGAAACCTGGATGTTCAGCTACGGCAAAGGAAAGACTGCTGAACAGGCAACCCCTATCTACATTCACTTTACTGAGTTTCACCCTTCAGAACCATTGTATATATACAATTTCCCGTGATCAGTGCACATGACAAAAGTAAAGAAGATTATGTATCGAAATAAAAAGGCCAACAGAATGGTAAATGGATTAATTCTGATAGCTCAGTCCCTCCAAAACCAGCACAGCCAACAGCAGCACTGTAACCACTCTGCGGGGTAGAACTGCTGTGCCTTGGGTGGTGTTACTGGATGAATCCACTGAAGTGGTTAAGATAGACCAAGTTTGTCCCTGGTTTCTGCTCATTCCAGAAGCAAGTTCAATATTTGCATCTAGCTGTAAAGGATGTTTGAATCCCCTTTACTTGGGAGTGTAACATAATCCTCTTTCTCAGTTTGGTTACAGCTCTCACATGCATGTTCTCCGAAGAAAAACTTTCTGTTTCAGGCCTGATGATGTGAAAAGGGCAGTTTGTTGAGAGCCCAGGCACTCCTACAGAAACATTTCTGTGGTCTGCTAAATATTATGGTGTTATAGAAAACTGTGAAAGCCACAAGACCCACACCACCAGAATAAATGTTTGTGATGCTTCTGCAGCCTGGGTCAGCAAACCCCATGAGTCTTGTTAAATACGTTTTCAAAAAGATAATGTATATCATGTAGTATATTGAGGACATTAAAAAGAATATGTCAGGTGTTCAAAGCGTTTTATAAGTTGGACTTATCAGTTCTCTTGCACTCCATATTATCCCAAATCAGTTCTGTGTCAGTGGCTTTGGCTCACCCTTAGTTTAGTATCGGGTAGACACATCAGTGGCTTGGCCTAATTGATACAAATTAGTTTCAAGCTGTTCTGAGGATGTAACTTTTCCTGTCGCCAGTTAATCAGTACCTAAACCAATGTGATTTTTAATACAGCAACAGCATTCGAAATTCATGCTACCACTCTGCCTGAAAATTAGCTTGTTACCTTGTGGTGAACCATGAAGTGATAATCAAATTTGGTTTTGCCCTTTGCTGCTGGTTGGATTTATTGATTAGTTGACCTTATAAAGATTCCCTGCCAGATTAAGTAAATACATTTCTACTTGCTTTTTTGCATTTTAAGCATCAGTTCTGATAATTTTATTCTTTGCTGGAAGAGACTTGCAAGGTTATTAGAAGCCTAATATAATGATGACTTATGTGTCGAACCTCTGCCTTTCCAGATCACATTTCCTTCTTTATTGGTGGAGAGGTTATGACATATTCATATGATTCTGACTAGCATTTAGGGGAATGTAGAAATCCCTCCCTATTTCACTGTACACAAGTGTTTTGCAAAATAAGCATATTTAAGATCCTTTCAAACAACAGTTTGACTGTTGAGATTTCCTAAAACTTGTGAAAGAGCTCCACTGATGAGACAAGGTAAGACATTGTTGTGTGAAAAGATCAAATAGGAAATCACATTTAAAACCCAACAGTGCTAGGATAATCATTATACCTCACAAAGCAGCAGAATGGTGGAGGAGGAGCTTTGTTTGCTTTGAAGTTCTCCATTAAAATTAATAGGGATTTGTATGACTTAACATTTCATTATAATTTATACTTCATTCACATTACAGTAGGTTTTAGTCGGGAAACCTTTTGAAGACACGGCATTGAAAAATCTGTAATTCATGTGAGTGAAATAATGCATCTTAATGGCTTTTGGCTGGGCAAAATTAGACACATGTGAGCAAGATTAATGGAATCCCCCCATCAGGATAATGTTTTGTATGCCTCTGAGCATCTGTCCTACAAAGCCACAGCTGTGAAAGCTGCTCCTGTTGTAAATTAGTACCTGCTCCTGGAGATACTGCTCATCCTGGGAGAGTATTGTTTCACTAGGGGCAGAGAAGGGAAGAGTACAGAGTGAAGCTGAGTCAGTAGGGCATCCATACCACCAGTGGCACAGTAGTGATCTTGTAAGCACAACTTACTTATCTCAGTGGAGGGAATGAATTAGGTAGGAACTTTTTTCAAGGGCATTGTCAAGTCATAGATGTGTTTTTCATCTGTGGAGTCAGTATTGCTTATATTTCCTGCCTGTCTGCATTGCTTCTTTATATACGGATTTGCTTTGAGTGCACATTTGTGCAGGGAGAAGGATTCCAGTCAACATAAGCAAAAGCAGAAGAATAGTCCTGTAACTTCTTAAAACAGAAAACGTTGTCTGCTGCAGTGTGCTAAGAGGAAAAGGGACCTCCTCACCTGTCACTTACACTATCCATAATCCAAGTCATGATGTGACTTGACATTAGTACTTCACTGCTTTCCTCTACTAGCATAAAAACCTGTATTTTCAATGTTGATTTGGCAAGTTAGACTAAGGAACCAAAATGAAGGAAAAATACTGCCTACCCAGTGGCAGTTCATTCAGAAAATGTATGTTTCTCAAGAGGGTCTACGCAACATGGGAGAAGGTGCAAGTGAAAGGAACTGTCCCAGCCACAGCTCTGTCAGACTTAAATCTTTTTAAAGCAATCACAAAAACAGTGTCACCTAAAGGGAGCCATGTAAAGTTCCAGTGAAAACTTCTCTTAATTTTATTTTCCAGTACAAGAACTGAGGGCATCAGATGAAGTCAGGAGAAATCAGGTATGAAACAAAAGGAGGGGTTTGTGTGAGTTGTGTAACACCTTGCCACAGGATGCTGCAGAAAGCAAAAGCCTATTCAAGGGCCAGCTGGAAAAGTCTGAGGGATAGAAATCCATTCAGGGTTACCAAATACTTGGAAACTCCATCCAGATCAGCAAGCTTATAAACTGCAGGCAGCTGGAAGCTGGGAGAGTGTTATTATTATTGTTATATACAAAAGTATAATTCATGCTTGTGTGTTCTTATATTCTGTAGGCGTCCACTTTCAGCCATAGTCAAGCCCAGGACAGTGGGCTTGGTGAACCTTGGGTAAGGCCCAGGACAGGTGCTCTCATGGTGTTTATTTTGAACTTGCCCTCAAGCTGTGCTGTCCCCTCTTTCCTGGTAGGTTATTATTAGAACTGGGTCACATGAGGCATTTGGGACTGCGTCTCAGTTGCATTGACTGACATTTCTTTCACAGGGAAAGCTCTGTGCTGGCAGGAACAAGCACACATAGCTTATGTGAGGATGGGAGTAGCATTTTTTTGCATAAGATTCACTTAAAGCAGTGCGTTCATTTTTCTGGTTGTTCCCCATTGCATCAGGGACAGAGTGCTGAGCTAATCCAGGGAGGCGTCAAGGCGCGAGCTGTATTTAGAGTCAGCCACCTGCTTGGGAACATCAAGCGGCAGAAAGAGCCAGCTTCAGCAAAAACCTCCCCTGTGCATTCCACAGCAGCGGCTTCCAGCAGGCCCTCCCTCCTCTGCCTGATTCTGCATGAGGCCTTCAAAAGAGTCTGCACCTGAAGACGGACCCCGACAGCCCAGGAATGCTCTGAGCCTGGCACTCCCTCTACCCAGGAACTGCCAGATATTTTGGACAGCTGCAAGGTGGAATTAAATCACGTGGGTGAAGAGTGGCCTAATCTCTGCATAGGCAATGTAAGTGTTATTTGAGGCTGAGCTGTTCTGAAGGGCTGGGGAATACAGTACTCATTAACATATGCTATTCAACTTTATTTAGTTTAGTTAGTGTTGGTAAACATTGCCTTAAAATAGACTTAATATTAGCACAGAAGAAAGCAAAAGAAAGAACCTACTACACAATTATAAATACAAAACAATTAAAAAGAGACTCTATTGTTTTGTATTATTTTATAATTTGCAACATACACAGATTTTATAAATGCTACAGCATTTACCATACAAAGCACAAGACAGACTTCTGGTCCTGAGCAGCCTTAAAATTGAACAATAATTGATTTTTACCATTTTTAGTGTAATTTTAACTAGAATGGAAATTCGCACATAAAAAAGTATTCTGATTTTGGCTGTTTATATGACAACTTGATTTGCAGTTGAAATTTCTGACAAATCCATGGATATTCTGAATGACAGCAGACTTCACTATTTCTGAAAACTGTGCAGATGGGTATTTCACTCTGAAGCATAGAGAAAGCATGCAATCATCTGCACTCAACATGCCTAGTGCCCAGTGTTATGCCAAAACAAGGGTTTTTTCACCATCATCAGGTGACAAACTTGTTGAAATATCTAGAAATTACAATAATTTCTGCAGGAGAGAAGCAGGGTGAACTAATAACCCTGCTGATTGCCTGCTGATTACAGCATGAGTGCCCGTTCTTTTAGCTATGAAACAGCAAAGCCATAAAAATGAGCTAGGGGATGCTGGGGAAATAATCTGCATTTAGAAAACTTGGTTTTACAAAGTACTGCCTGCTTCCTGATGTCCCTGAGCTGCAGGCAGGAGCGTGGCAGCCGGCAGGTGACCCCGTGCACAGCGGGGTCAGAGCCTGGCTGTGCTGAGTTCAGCTTCGCTGAACTTCTGCCTCAGCCAGGAGAGCAGGAAATCGACCCTTGCCTTTCCACTTAAACCTTGTAACTACACTTGGAAATTAACTCTTTTACTTATTAGAACCATATGCAGAAATAACGATTTGTAGAATTGAGCCTGACAGGTAGTACAGGCAAAGATTTAAGACAAAAATCACTGAAATTGTGTTCTGATAACAGCAACATTTGATTTTAGACAACCTTTTAAGTGCAGTTTTAAGACCTCCTTTCAATGCCTGTAAGTATACATGTTCCAAACTATTCTTGGATGTTTCTTTCAATCACATTCTCTCTTGTAGGGGGGAAAAAATGGTGGGGAATAAAATGAAAAAATATATAGATAACAACAGTGTGTATGTGTAGTAAGGAAAGATGAACTTTGAGAACATTCAGCTAACAGAAATAAAAATGTAAACAGGTGTCTTAATGCAACAGCTGATCACTAATATCAGCTTAAATATGAGTTACAGACTGCAAACAGTGAAACTAGAAGTTGATCAAGTACTACAGATGGAATTTTCTTTTTTGTGCCAACATCAATAAGACAAATAGGAACAACACCTGAGAATAAGATTTCATGGGCTCTTCATGAGCTAAAAATGAGGAACAGAGTATGTTCATTTAGGGCCCAACCCAGTACTAAGTGAAGTTAATAAACAGTGAATGTTTCTGTTACTGAGCAAACCCGTGCCAGCATCAGAACTTGTGCCAGAGCTAAAATAACCCAGAACAGTACCATATATTGTCACTGCTTGTTTCCATGGAACCAGTTATGTGCAGTTTCTGAGCAGCTCCTTGGAAATCAAAGATCAATCTAGAATTAATGCCGTATTTTATAAGAAATATTTCTCCTTATGCCTTTATCAGAAATCTGATGTTCAGCATCTTTAAACAAGTTAAATATGGAATAAAGTAGGGATGGCTGACTTGACATGATGACTTTCATCCTGGAGGACTTTGAAGCTGTCAACAAACTGATTATTAAATATTTATCTGGCTATCAGCCATTGCTGATATGCAAGGCCAAGGCCAAGACCCTTTGGGTTTAAAGGTACAGTGTTTTCAGAAGTGCTACATAATAAGCAGCTGAGGGCACAATATGTAAAATATCCTGCAGAAGTCAAACTTCATGCTGATATTAAGCAGGCGGGTTTATTAACTGGGGTTTAACCAGATTAGCAAGGCTATCTTCAGCAAAGAAACATTGTACAGTTACAGGCTGAGGCGAAATGGTTATTAGCTATGCTAAAACCTTAGTATGTTCAACATACATATTTCAAATCCAGTTACAGAAGGACCTGAGCTACCTCCTGAAGTGAATTTTTGTAGGATGTTTACGCCAGCAGTCCTCAATGTGATTGTAGTTAACTGAAGTCAGTAAAACTTCTTAAATTTGTTTCTTTTCAGAAGTGAAATAACTTGGAATTCTGCATTTCCAGGTATGAGTATATTCAGAAATCATAACCTTTTACCATTCTTCTACTACCTTACTTATCCTTACACCTCTCAAAGGGGAAGAAATGTCTGAGTGTTGTAGACACTGGGGTCTACAGACAGGAATACATTACAAGGCAACAAGATAACTTGAGCTACTTGTAATCATGTGCTTTTATAGAAGACACAATCGACTTTGACCTTGTTGCACATTTCTATACATTCTGTGTGCATTAAAAAGGGCAAATGGCAAGTCCCTGTCCCGATGGTAAACTGCTGCTCTTACACAGCACTCACATTAAGCAATCACAATTACTTTAGCAGCATTAACTAAATGTCACTCAACCACTCGGGTAAGCCTAATCATCCACTTACAGACATTGTCTTCATTGGCACATGGGAAAACAGCAGGATCCTGAGAGATTAGGAGTGACCAACAAAACCATATTCACATCAGTGGCAAGGATCACACATTGTGTGCTGGTAATCATCAGAATGTATCTTCTGTAGCAGGAGAGAAAGAAGAAAAGCAATTATAAAAGGGAAGACAGTTCTGAGCTCTCAGTCAGATATCATCAATTTTTAAAATTTTTTTTTCGTTTTTTTGTATTGATTTGTCAGAATACACAACAAAAATAACTAAAAATACTTTCTAGTTTGAGAAACAGCCAAAACCTGCAAAAAACTATTGCAGAGACATGCCAGTTGGCCATTTACAAAGCCTAATGCCATGTGTTTTCCTCTGTTTCTGGACTCAGATATCTAGTAACAAAAAGTGGTTCTTGATTTATGAAAGGGCTATAGGTAATACCCTGGAGGCTACTTTATCTCAGCTGCTGTAAATTGGATCTCTCAGAGATGAGATGAGATGCGAGTGAGGCAGAAGTACAAACTTATGCAATCTGTGACTATGGCACTACTCCTTGCAGCCTGGAACAGCACTATGTGTATTCCTTTCTGTTTTGAAAGGAAAAATCTGTATTTGCCTTATTCTTAGAAAAAGCAGATCTGCTTCCTTTATGCTGGCTTACCTTATGATATTCTGTCACTTTCCTCTAGGCATTGTTATCCAAAGAGTTACCCAGTCATGAGCAATTTCATCATGCTGCAGGATTTACATACTGAACCAAGACACAGTAGACACCTATGTAAACTCTAAACTCTCATGAAATTAAAAAAGCACAAAGTGACAAGGAGAAATGTCAGAAAAACTATCTGAATATGAGACAAAGATGAACATGACCTAAAGCTTTGTCATCAAATCTATTTTTCCTCTCTGTTTAGGGCATAGAATGTTTCTGAATTTTGCATGCTCCTGTCATTCCTCAGTCAGTTGGCTAAATGAAGGCAGCAAACATGCTAGGTACTCCTCTGGGATACATTCCTAATTTGTTGTCCATTCTGCTCATTAAAACTCTCAAAACTCAACTCCAAGAGAAAATAGGCCCCTGTTTAAAACTAAAGCTCTTAAGTATATCCCTGGACACAAAAAGATGTTAACTTGTTTTGCTGATTTGGATCAGCAAATGAAAAGGGGAAAATATTTCCCAACCTGTACAAGAAGTCACCCAGATGGGAGACAGTTTTCTTACCCTGGTGACAATAGATGCTCAATGGCTGAGGACTTTCCAGCGGTAACTAGTTTCTGTCATGCCCTCTGCCCAGCTCTGTCTCAGCTTTATGGACCTGAGCATTACTGAAAATGTAATAAACTTTCATCTATAAATTAGACATTTCTCTCATGCTCAAAATTTCCTGTTCCCACCAAAATTATTATTACTTGAATATTGCTGTGCCTCTAGCACTAGTGAACATGGAAAGAGACAAGTCATTTAATTTTAATGGAATATTTCAAAAAGGAACGGCTCTTTAAAGCCTATTCTGCTGGTTCAGAAAGCAGGTTTCTCCCAGAACCCTGTCTTTTGTCAATGTCTTGCCAAGGAGAGGGGACTCTAAAGAAAAAAATTGAAACTTTTTTTTGAACTGTTGAAATGACTACCCAAATTGGCAAGCTAAGCTAGACCACCCCAGGGTAGTTCTTATCTTAGAGTATTTGTTTGGAAAATAAACTGTAGTTTTAGACTGAAGTCTTAAACGTGCAGAGGTAAAATACCCGGGGAGAGTTGCTGGTGGCAATTCAGCATCTCAGCAGAATTCCATAGCATTTTCCCAGAGTTCACTTGCCACATGCATGCATTTTGGAGGAGATAATGCAGTGCTGCATGCAGAACACCAAAGCTGGGACCACACCAGTCCTTGTGGAAACTCCCACGCCAAACCAGCAGTGTAACCCAGGGGTGAATTTGCCCTCCTATTTCCAAAAAGAGATGCCTGCCAAGGACAGTATGGCCCAAGGGGCACACATTGCTGGCAGGCTCTCAAGTGTCAGAATAGAAGCCGTGTAGATCCTGTGCTTTGCAGGCAACACACAGACGAGGAAAACAATCAAGTTGTTGGGTGGAAAAAGCAGCTTCCCAGGATCGCTCTGACCGTGGTGTGATTATGATCAATCCACATTGGCAAGTATCATCTTTCCACGTGTGTTTCACCTCCTGCAGGCTGCCTGCGGAGAGCAGCTTGGGCAGGCTGATGCATGCTTGTTATTGCTGGTGTAAATATCTCTGCCTTGTGCTATTGTGGCACAAAGCAGCTGGACCATTTGAAAATCATTTAAAAAGCACTATAAAATTAGGGCTCCAGTGCTCTTATTTTATGGCTTTCACGAGCAGCCATTGCCTAGAGAGAAATTATCCTCTTTATTTTCAAGGCTAAAGGTTCTTTTAACATTCATCAAAATCAAAGTGCCCCCTTGGTAACACGTTAGGCTGTTACTTATTTAGTACAGACTCTTTACCTTCTGCATAATATCACATTTGAGATCTCAGTTCGTCATATACAACTCATTTCATTGTGTCTGCTGTTGTTACCACCAAGTGAATTTGCATAGTTTCAAGAGAGGCTGGATGATGCCCTGAAACATATTCTTTCCATAATTCTTTTTTTTTTTTTTTTTATTTTAGAACAATAGCCTAGAGTGTTTTTGTTTCTGATCCTTCTATAAAAATGTCCAATTACTTCTTTGGCAATGGATTTGCACAGACCAATTAAGCACTGTAAGTAAAAGATTTTCAAGGGCAGAAATAATAATTAGGTACATAACCTGATAGACTCACTTTGAAACATCTCTTCCTCGTGTATATAAAAAAAAAAACTGTCTTTGATAATTTTCTTTTTTCCATTCTTGTTTTCATGGATAACTTCTTTACCAAACTGAGGAAAACAGTGAGTGAACCAAAGCAGCATGACAAAATGCAAACAGTACAAAGGGAAAGTCATTCTTTTTAGGAAGAAGAAAAGAAGCACAGCTGTATCAACCATACTTAGAGCTCAGATCTGAAGGGGTTAGGAAGAGACACTGCATGAAAGCATCCATCAGCCACAAAGGTGGCAAGTGGAAATGGTAAGGCTCTGCACATGCTCTGTGCTGCAGCTCAAGAAAACTGTTTTGTGCCCCTCTGTTGTTTAACCTGCCTTACATTTCTGTAAGAGACTGGTCACCTTTTTATCCAGACATCAAATACAAACTGAAGACAAACATTTACAAAGTCATAACCTTAGCTATGTTCTCATGGTTCCCTCTTTGGCCAGGATTTTGTCTTTATGTTCTCAGGGGACAGCAGGCTCATTCCTGTGCCAAAAGGCAGCACTCTTTCAGATCTCTGCAAAGGGGGTGGTTGGTGCTCACAGATCCTGCTGTGAAAGCATGTGTAGCCACATGGAGCGGCTGTAAAGTCAAGACGCACCATCCTGCCTGGCAAAGATGTAACCAGGCAGAAGGCAAGGCTGCCTGTGTGCAGGGGGAGCTCCATCACCATTCCAGCACCACTGAAAACAGAGGGAGCTTGAGTTTTTAATGACAGAGACTTTTCCTGTCATCACCCAGTCTGTAATCCATCAAGGGAATGGTTAAGCTAATAGAGGGACGAGATGAAGTTACTTGGTAATCACTATTGTTTATGACCCTAGAAAGGCAGAAAATGGGACAGGCATGACAGACATCTTCATGGAAGAAGGAGGTGGGACAGACATTAAGTAAGTCAGGATAAGAAGCTCTGTGACACATTTTTCTGTTCCAACAGTCAGCAATCACTTTCCTGTGCCTGACAGTCTCAGAAATAGAGAGAAGGGCCCAGGTAAGTTCACATAGCTATGGGCCCCTGCATTTCAGATCCGATTAGATCTTTTAGGTTAAGACTGACTCGTTCAATCTCAGCCCTTACTTGTGGCAATAGTGAAAAGTGGCAGAAGAGCAGAGATCAGTGTAGCCCTCTCAAGACCTCATCCAGCACCACGAGTGTGATTATGTCACCTGTGCAGGGGGCTCCTCCCTTCAGAGCTGATGTGCACGTTTGTTCCCTCTCAGGCATATACACCTTGCTCAACAGAACAAAAATTAAAAATTCAGATAGAGTTTTTACCCAGTAGAGGAGAAATAGAAAATCCCTTCTACCCAGTGGTTTCAAATTCCTGGACAGCCCTGAATTTTCCCTTGCATTGTGGACAAACCACTTGTTTTCTCTGAAATAGATAGCAAATTGACACTTGCAGTTAATGTTTTAGTGCTGAAAGGGGAGGATTTTCCTTTCAAGCACTGAAAGGGAACGGGTGTCTAGAGAGTGTTGTTTTCCCCATACACACATATCTACTAACACCTCAATGTGTAAAGGCTTGCTCACCTTGCATCCAGAGCAGGATTAAGCATACCTTGGAGCTGTTTTGACCTACATGATCAGTTGCTGAAAGCCTGGCAAAAGGACCCAGGTTGTAAGATGTCCTGCATGAGCTACATTCAAAGTAATTTTGTGCTCAGTTTAACCTATTAATATCAAGGAAGGCATAATCTACCTTAAAATAGCAGGTGGGACCCCACAACTCAGAGGTGGGCAGCCAAAGGGCAAAAGAAAGCTCCTGGATGCTGGCAGTGTTCTTGGGGTGTTGTCAGCAGCTGCAGACCTCCCATCACTTGTTTCCCTCACAAAATGAAGTTGCTAACTGCAGAACCAAGCTGGCGCCAAAATAATTTTTCCACAAGAAGTAATACAAGAAAGAATACCTTAAAAAGCCAAGTAGGATCAGAATCCGGAGTGGAAAGGTGTGAAGGCATTGAGATCTCTGTTAGTATCTCATGGGGCAAGGGTGTCCCTGCCCAGGTGATGGGCATCCATACCATCAGTTCTTTTCCCTCATCACCACAGCACTTTTAAGCATTTTGCTTTTGCTTCTTCACTTTTGATGCCTTGTCATTCTCCTCCATGTTGCCACTGTGTAATGAATCTTGGTTCATAGTGACAAATGTATTGCCAGCCTGGGAGGTAGATTCTGGATGTTTGGTGCCCATGATACATTCAGAATTCAGTATTTAGTAATGAGCAGTGCAGACACAGCATTCATAAGACAGGTGGAAAAGATCCAATGCAGGTTGGACTGAAGGGCTGGCTAGTTATTCATTCTCCATCAGGCAGAGCAGAGTCTAGAGGAAGCCAGCATAAGAAACAGGACAGCTGTTTCTGGCTTTCAACAGATTGGCTACTTCTAAACCTCTTGATTCTTTTAATTACTACAAATTACTACAGACTGAACAGAAGAACTGGTCCTAGCACAAAAATCCTTAATTGTCCTCATGCCCCCAACAAGCACCTTGCCTCCATTTGTTCCAAGGAGGCTAGCTGAGGCTGTGGGGTGAAAAAAAGAAAAGGAGGGGTGAAGGCTGGGTGAGAAAGACAGGTGAATGGATAGCTGAGGAGCAGGCTGGATGGGTGAGGAGCAGGCCGGTGCTGGAGGTGGCTCTGGGGAGGCCACTGCCATGGGGCAGCACAACTGCCATGACCATGAGCTTTGTCCCCTCTCCAGATGAGCTGCAAAGGTTACTGATGAATGTCCTCGATGTCCCAGTGAGGGAAGGGATGTCTCAGTGCTGGGTCAGGCCAAACCAGGCCAGGCCAAGCCAGGCCATGGGGAGCAGTGGTGTGGCAGGGCCCAGGACCAGGGCCCGGAACTGCTGGGTCTCTGCAGTGCTGCCGTTTAGAATTAACTTCTACCAGTTAGTGAGCTCTTGGTAATTGCCATTGACACAATAATCTTTGTGAGTTTTCCACAGTTTTATTTTATCTGTCAGAAGAATGCAGGGGTCCCACCACACTGGCTGCTGAGGAGGAGTGCCTTTGGGTTACTCAAAGGCTCCAGCCAGTCTGGTTGTACTTTCCAAACCAATTTCTGTTCATGTAGAGGGTTTACTTCCTTTAAGAAAAGTATTTGAACTGAAATCAACAGGGGAGAGGGCATGAACAGCAGAGACTCCTCCATCCCAGCCCTCTTCCAAAGCCCCAGCAGCTCCTGTGACAAGCATTGAAGGGTCAGTTTTCCAGGAGAACATGGGGGGACACTGATTTGACCCCACCGCCCAGCCCAGCAGCCCAGTGCAACAGCCCACTAGCACCCAGGCTTCCTCCTGCCCAGCTGCTGTCCCTCGTGTCTCCCGCTGTTCCCAAAAGCCAGAGCAGTGTCCTCTAGCTTGGCTCTTTTTCTACTATGGCTGGAGAAACAGGGAATGGGAAGAGAACCATATTTGGAAGCAGACAGTATAAAAGACTAAAATAATCATCCTGCTTTTTACTTTAGGTGAGTGTATTATGTCATGGACTAGTTTGTACAACAGATTTTGCCAGCAGAACAAAACCAGGCCAAACTGCACAGTGTAAAGGAAAAAAATGAGCACTGTCACAGGCTTTTCTTATACAGGAAAACTGCATGGGAAAAGATACGGTGTAGATCTTTTGATGGATACACGCAGGTCAATACCAATCTAATTAACTCCGTACATTTCACATTTTTCTTCCATCTCAGGTGCACAGTTCCTTGTAAATTCTCCCTTTAAATGCCGGTCGGAAGTGTATTCCGTCCTGCGATGCCCATGGCTGTGTATTTTTAAAGCCTCTAACATTGTTTTTTCCTGCCATCTTGTGGCAGCAGGAAAAATCACAGCGTTTCACTAGCAGCAGAGCTGCCCGCTGGCCTAATACAAGGGTTGTCAGCAAAACAGTCTAATCTATAATTAGATTAGTTGGTATCATTGCAAAAAATACAGTCCCTCTTGCATATTTAAAAGCTTGACTAATTCTTCTAGCTCCACTAGTTGGTCTTGTAGCAGAAGTTCTTTGGTTCTCTTAGAGCAAAGTGTCTGTTTTGTAGACCTCGTGTTTCTGCTGTCTATACAGAGCAAAGGAGACTTACATAACAGGTGAGACTTTATTATGTTATGACAAGACTTCATAAAGTAAACCCTAAATATTTTGAAAAGGCTCTTTTTTTGCAAGCGTTGCTCTCAGGTCTTCATAATTCCTTAAAAAAGCCATCTTTGTTTCCTATCAAACCATAGGAAGATCTTGTCTGATAGGTATGTAAAGCTTTTCCTTTTACTGCAACCACTATTGCTGTCTGGTGTCACAATGTAAACACCACAAAACCTGCCCAAACATCCTGCATTGTTTGCTTAATTCTTTAAACCAAAATATTTTCATTATTTTGTTAAAAATGCATATAAGATTTATATGACTGAATCTAGGTTCCTGTGGTTTTTTTCCCCTTTTCCTACAATTGCACAGAGGATTTTGAAAATGAATACTTTGATCCCAACTCTCCTGCCACAATAGCTCTTCCCACGTAGTTGAGGTAAAAATATGAAAATTATATATGATAATTTAAAAAAAAAAAAAAATCAAAAGTAAAAAAATGTAGGTATTTTCCCTTAAAATAAATGCAAAATTCAGAGCCAGTAAGAAAAACTAGTCACTACTTACTAAGAATATTTCCAGCCTGCAAAGAGAGTGTAAATAAATGCTCTTCAAAGCTTTGTTCATTTTCACTAGCACCCGCAAAAATGACTGCTTGGGATGCCAGGCACTGGAGAGAAAGGATGTTAGTGCTATTTATAGCTCACGGGTGGCTTCCATTGCCATTGTACCTGAGAATGTCGCAGTCCTTAATGCATTCCTACGCATTGCTCGCAGGTACTTTCTCAAGCAGAGGTTAGCCTTCCCAAGGCTGCGCTGAAGGC